CGTACGTACGTACGTACGTACGTAGTACGTACGTACGTACGTACGTAACGTAACGTAACGTAACGTACGTACGTAGTAGTAGTAGTAGTAGTAGTAGTAGTAGTAGTAGTAGTAGTAGTGTGTGTGTGTGTGTGTGTGTGTGTGTGTGTGTGTGTGTGTGTGTGTGTGTGTGTGTGTGTGTGTGTGTGTGTGTGTGTGTGTGTGTGTGTGTGTGTGTGTGTGTGTGTGTGTGTGTGTGTGTGTGTGTGTGTGTGTGTGTGTGTGTGTGTGTGTGTGTGTGTGTGTGTGTGTGTGTGTCAGAACTGGATTGCGACCTACAGAGAAAATCAACTGGAAAGGACATTTGGACACATGTTTGGGTCCAACTTATGTTTCATGTCATTAAGTTAAGTTATTTGATATTCTCACATCTACCTGCTCAACAGATACACATTTCTCTATTCCAATTTGTTTACCTGACATTTCCCCACTAACAATTAAGGCTTGGATATTTCCTTTACTTAAGTGTTTCCTCTTGTAAGTCTTCACGTGGCTACATGCTTACTTTTAATATTCCCTTCTAAACGTTGATACTGACAAACCGTCACATCCAAATTCCCGAAGTAACCTTCATGCAAGCAGCTCCATAAAGACTGACCTTAGTGACCAACGGGGATTTGTTCATTAACAACAGGGTATGGGAAGTGAAGGGAACCCCAAAATATATTCTTAGTTTCCCCTGAATGAATTGCTTGTGTGCTTTGAAATAGTGTTTTCTTACATGTCCCTGTTATGTTGTCCCTGTTTTGTTTGACTGCATGTGAAATCAGTTTCTGACGGGTGTTTCCTTTACCTCGACCGTACCCTGTTTTATTTATAAAACTATATAACACGTTAGACTAATAGCCTGGCTGTCAGAGAACTGTAAGGCAATGTGAAGCGAGGATTCGGTAACACTCCTACGGTGGCCCACAGGTGCAATCGCACTACAACGCCCCAAAACACTTTCATTAGGAGAGAACGCGCTGCCGTTTCAAAAACGATGCAAATATAAAAACTGCCTAAACACAAGCAAACATGAGTTTATAATAGCCAACTTTATAATCCCTGAATGTCAGCAAGCGCTCGTGTTCTTCAGCTTCTCAGTGTCCCTGTTTTCGTTGTATTTTGAGCGTTATCTGCACGTGTTTTGACACACTTGCGTTTTTAAATTTGCATCGTTTTTGAACGAGGCGTTTCCACGTGTCTGAGGGAGTAATGTCCGGAAAGGAGGGAAGCATTTCGAGGAAAAGTGACACCTTCACTCAACAAGAATCCAACAAACAGCACTCAGTATGTTGTTTTAAAACAAAAATATGCTTTTTTTTTTATGCTTGAAGATAAAATCAAATACAATTTCTTCCAAATTATTGAATTATACTTCAATGTAAACGCTCAAGTTTAATTGTTGACTCAAAGGTGTGCTTCATAACCTTTAAATTATGAAATGAACACCATTATTACCCCCTATGTGGTGAATGACCACTTCTTCTTGGTGTTACAGAAACATTGAAACAATTAAGTGGAAGAATTGAATTTCCGAGCAGCCGGTGTCGGAGCTCTGAACTGATTGTTTGTGGTGCTATGCGGTGTTACAACGGGCCAAAATGTGTGAGAAAGCTACACACTTCTTTTCTCCAAAAGTAAAAAGTTTACATTAAACTTTTCGTTCCTTTTATGAAAAAAAGGACCAACTGGGATTTCAACTTTGTGAACCTTTCTTTAAGCTTAAGGGGGCTGCGTTGTTTTACGGCAGCAACAGGAACCCCGAGGTAGTCTCTGAAAACACTGACACGTGAGTTTGGTGGAAAGAAACGGAGGAAGACCAAATGCAGAAATGTCTTAAACGGAAAGCCATGAAAAGGATCAAAACCAGTGGGAAAGGAAAGACCAAACTTTATTTTTATAAACGCTTCTGCGACAAGGTCTTATCTTGGTATACATAATAGTTCTAATAGTCAGAGTAGTTGAACTTAACTGTTGGTTGACCGTGCGCTTCAAACATAGTTACTTCTGTCACTGTTTCATAATGTTTGTGTTTCACATTAAATGTCTTTTTTTTGTATTTCATTCCTTTTTTGTTGGAAAGAACAGAACTTTAATTGAACCTCACGAGGACATTTTTTGTTGTAAACTTGTCATCATTTCCTCAGCTGCACTGTTATTAGAGAAGCCTTCAGATGTGACAGGAATGTTAAAACCAACCACTTAATGAATAAAAATTAACTGCTTCAAACCTCACAGGCGACTGTTTCGTGGCTACCTCTTGATCTTTCACGTGTGAGTCATTCACTTCCATCAATCATGTTTGTTTACTGCCTTTGCACACGGCACACTTCATTTGCCTTCTCAGAAATTGCTTCTACATCTAGTTTTCCTTCCCACGCTCCAATACGTCTTTTCTTTCAATGTCTCCAAGATACAACATGTTATGCTTGGTTCCTTGAGAAACAATAGGTTTTAGGCACATTGACATACAATTAATCCATGGTTGATTGAAAACTCAGAAACAGCTTAAAAAAAAATAAAATGGTATTCGCTAATTTTGTAATTTGACGGTGTTTGAAGGATTTTTACTAATGATGTCATCAGGGTATTTCTGCTTCTAGAAATGTTCAACAGAAATACTGGTTACACAAAGTGGGGGTGTGGACAAAATAATAAACTCAAATGTTATTTATTTTATTTACTTCCAGTGGTTGCATCCTGGGAAATAGAGGATTGCATGGACAACAAAACATGGGTGTCAGAAGTTTAATCTAATAGGAGCAGGTGCAAACATGTCATAAATAAATATATCAAAAACTGACATGATGTTCAAATTTAAAAAAAATAGAGAAAATAACCGCTTTTCTAATCATAACATCATCATAGTCTTCAACTCTACTAATTATTTTTATTTGTAATTAATCTTAGGGCTTTGTAAAGAAACGTAATACACATAACACTCAGAGTTCACTTTCATCCAATTTATATAGAATATTTTATTAACTTCTGTGTGTCTTGTGTAGTTGGCAACAATAATAATAAATAATAATAATAATAAAAAAGCTTTATATAGCACCATACAACACGTGCAGCTCAAAGTGCTTTACAAAATGGCGACACATCACAAGTTAAGAACAAACAAGAAATTCCCCTCAGATTATTAAAAGGTACGTGCAGCAAAATATAACATTTTATCAGGTTAATAACAAGGAGGTCAAATGTAGGCTAATTGTGGGGGAAACTTCTGTAGCAATGGAGAGTCAGAGAGACACGAGGAGAGCTGGAGCTTTGATGGCAAACACTGACGGTTTATTTGGAGGTACGGGCGGAGAATTGACAAGACAGGTGGTGTGTCACGAGTTGACACAGCGGTTGCCAAACCAATTCTGAAGAACTCTTCTGCAGCTTGAGGTTTTAACTAGTTCGGAGTGTAATAATCAACATTCTTTATCAGTGAGACTAAACAATTATGGACC